AAGGCGGTCATCGAGTCATCGGTCCGCATGGTGTGGGGAGGGCGTTCGTCCTGGAAGCTGGTAGGTAGGCCCTCCTTGTTGAAACCACTGAGTTCGAGTGGTTTTTGAAGCATGAATGGGGTTATGGAAAGGAGCCAACAGGTCTTGCCAAAGCTCAGAAAGCACTGAAGCCTATATGAACATCAGCAATCCAACGGAACACTCGCAATGACCATTCTTCTCTCGTGGGGGCATAATCGTCTCCTTTACTCTAGGTGACTGTCTCCTAGATTTGTTGCACAACCCATATCTCTGAGGATCTTTCGAGTGCTCTTGCTATCGGCTATACATCGGTGTCCATGTCAAGAATTCTGACGTCATGCGCAAAAACAGCGTCCGACGACGACATCTTAGTCACATGACACGGGACATCATACATACACATCATGTTTATCCTTAAAACTTAAAACACATTCTCGCTTCAAAAGCTTCGCAGGTGTGATTTTTCACCGAAACAAACATCGAACAAAATAATGAAAACTGGCCCAAGTGACTGAAGGTCACAGGATGATCGGAAGACTTGTCCCAGCAAATTGCTGATATCCTTACTGAATGTTCTGTCGCATTTCGGAACACATGCTGCGATTTCGGATGGTGGACTGAGCAGGGGTTTGGGCGTCGCTTTCATTCTCCAAAGCCAGCGCAGTAGCTTCAGGGTCACTGAGTCCCTGAGTGTGGGGCATTAAAAAGTACACGTTGGAATATCATCGTAGCTTCAGGGTTGGCAAATGGATGGTAGGAGTGGAGAGTGTCACAACCCTCGACCCTAGCGATGAAATCATTCACAAAACCACGGATCTCCCACAGAGTTAGTCCGTCTATGGTTTAGTGTCATCGAACCAAAAGCTGTGTAGGATCGAACCAAAACAAGCGATCCAATCTATTTGATATTATTTGTCAGTCCTGGTTGACCCGTGAAAATGAACAGATTCCGTTTTGAGGAAAAAAAAAACACCGAACCCCATGGTTTGTAGGGTGAGGTGGGCCCAGTCCCAGCTTGATTCTATTGGTTCCTCCCAAACACCCTGCCGGGTCTCCCCGAGCCCCACGTGCACCAAGCGGGGCCAGTAGTTGTCCACCACCTGTCGACGGGCACCGGGCGGACGATGGAGCTACCATGAGGTAGCCCCTGAAGAGGACCCCGGTCGTCTTGGACCAGGATCAGTAGCCAGAAAACGCCAGAAAAATGGGTTAATTACTCCAATTCAGTCCTTTTGACAGTGCAAGAGATTCAACCAGCCTCTGCGTCACCCCCGAAAAAAGCTCCAAACCTGAAAGCTGAGCGCCGTTCTTTCGCAGCAGCTTTGAACCCCCCCCAGACGAAGGGCGCCGAAGAGCCCCGGCACCATCCCACACCTTCATCCAGCGGGTGCCCCAGTGCTTTGGATGCGCATTGGCCATGGACACCGCCACACGTTGAGCCATGGAGATCAAGCTCAATGCCTGAGGGAGGCCAGGCGGAGTTTCTGAAAGGGTCAGATGGAACAATGTTTGTTTCCAAGGGGTTTACGGGGGTGGATGAACCCGTGTGCAGGATGAACGAAGTATCATGAAGCTATATGATGAGGTCGGTGTGAAGAAAGCACCCACTGGCTGAATAAGGCTTCAAACATGGAGGACTGTGGGGGGTTGTGTCCTTGGTCCTTGGTTGGATAGAGTTTCACATGGTTTTACACAATCTACATAGAGATTGGCACATGTCCTAGTGATTAAAAGAATGCCCTCAGTTGTCAACGCTTACACTACTGCGTAGCCAACATGTGCTGACAGAGAAGATCCGGGCAAAGTCTCTTTCTACAAGAAGAAACTGTGCAGAGAAGTATACAACAAGCAATAACTCCAGCAAAGGTACCAACCTCTGATTGCTTCATTAAGCATTCCCTTTGAACAGTGGTGTTGGCTTTATTGGCAGGAGTTTGCTGAGGGGTACGCAATTCCGTTCAATGTGAGCATGTGCGCATGTTCAGTTGAAACATGCTCTCTGGACCCGCGGTCGTTTTTGTGCCAAGCCTGCACAACCAAGTAGGCTTCGTTGAAGGACAAGGCTGCATAGATCGTCCCGAAAAAAGGGAATCAAAGGACATATACCTGGTTAGGCTGTGATGAAGGCAAAGAAACCTGATCTCAATATGAGTTTCCTTTCTCAGAGCCATGGGTGCTAGCTGCTAGCATGTGCTCAAGAGACGGGGGTGCAAACGTTTGTACTTTTGAAGGGCGACTTGGGACTGGGAACTTCGAGCTGGTTGAAAGGTGGAAACGAAGTATATGTTTGTTTTCAAAGGAACAATCTTCACACAGCCAGTCAAGCCTCCAAGCTCTGGGTGAGGGTTTCATGTCATCCAATGGTGACCAAAGAAACAGAATGTCCGTGGCAACCGGTCCGAAACGTCTCCTGTAGCTCCAGGCAAAACAAATGACTGTGGGTGTTCTGGATGAAAAACGCAACGACTTCGAAACCGACCTCGCCACGAATTCGTCGCTCCGCGCCGTGACGGAGCGGTCGACCCGGTTTGCACACCGAGTGGCGGAGCAGCGTGACCAAGTGGTGTCCCACCACGTTCACCGTCAGCAGACCTGACAGAACACCGGTGGGCACGTCAGTGACCGGTAGAAGAGCAACGAAAGAGTCCAGGTCACTGGTGGTGGGTGTCTCAAGGTGTCTGGTGGGTGTCTAGTTCGAGGTGGTTCGGAGAAGCCTTTGTTCTTCCGGTCTGTGAAGCCTTTGTGACTTTAAATCAAAGCACTATAAGCACTTGATCATTTCACTCCCGAAGAAGCACACAAAACACAAACACCAACGTAGACCAACAGAGTCTACTGGGTGATCCGCATCGATCCGCAGCTTCAAACAGTTTTGCGGACCGAAAGCGTTTTGCAGGCCAAGCCACGCATGATGGCCAGTTCCAGTGGAGCCCCTTGAGAGTCTGCCAGACATGGGACGTCACCACCGCATCCTTCTCCATAGATGAACCTCGTTTTTGCCGTGAGGAACTGGTGACCTCTGAGCCTCCGATTCCAGAAGTAACATGAAATAAACACCAAATATACTCACCAGTGTCTTAGGACTTGTCAGACGTATACCAAAAGTCCTAACTAGTAGGTAGTATAGCATAAACATCCTGTAGTGATCACAATTGTTCGATCTGAGTAAGACGTTGATTATGGTTCTGGCAATCGAGTCGCTTTCAGGATATCAAGAGTGGTGACCCGACAAAGAGCGCAAAGAATAGACTGCTCTTCTATCTACTTCCGGGATACTCATCTACCATCTGACCCAGCCGCGTGTTATAGATATTGACTCTCAACGCTTGCAACAAGCTCTGCATAGTGTTCATGATGTCGTGTCTAAACACATCAAAGGCCTCCACATGCTCCAGTGAAGGTTGATAACTCAACATATTAATGTGAAATCACCAACCAAACACTTGGTCTGGTTGTGACGTGAAACACATCTAATAATTAGGGAAGGTTGTAGCACGTTATAGCATGTTAAAGCTTGGCTTGCGGATGTGCAAGGCACATCAAGGCACAAGGTGAGGTTGAGTCTTGGGAGCCTTAGCTGCTGATCAAGACACCTCTCAAACATCGCCAAAAACCACGAGGCATTCCATGACATCCACTTCCCATTTCCTGCACTTTCACATGCACTTGAAAGAATGCTAGAGCAACAGAAAGAACGTGGATTTTCAGATGGAAAGGCCATCGGTTCAAGATCAAAACACCCTGTTCTTATTGGAGATCGTTGGTCCAATCCAGCGAGGAGGTCGAGGGAAGTCACCCAAAGAGCAAGTAGGATGTATTCCAAACGGTTGGCAAGGGGAACTGGCGATGGGGGATGAACCTAACATTGGGGGATGCGATCCTGGGTTCCAATACTGCAAAGGTTGTTGCTTCCTTTTAACTCGCTGGTGCCAGCGAAGAACCACTCGAACTGCCCATAAGCAGATGTATCTCGGCTCTCAGGCAGTTCGCTTCTCTGTGAAATTCTTTGTGAAGTGCAAATCTCCATGAAGCGAGTTGAACTGTTGGGCACCTGCAAGTTCCCTGAGATACTGTCGACTTTTGAACCACACCACCGGGCAAAGGTTCGAAGTTTGACGCAGGTTGCAAGATGCGTCCCAACCCATCGGCTCTCCTTCCACCAACTGGTACTCCAATAGGCAGGGGCCCGCCAAGCCTTCCACCTCCATTGCATGGCTGGCAAGTTCAGCGACGTAGAACTGGCCGGCTCCGATGGGAGAATCTCAAGGCAAACACGGGGCCCTTGACGCTTTGGGAGGTGGGTTGCAGGGCTGGGATGGCGTGCTGATGTGCTTTCGGCTTGGGGAGGTGGGTTGTAGCCCGGTGCGGCCGTGATGTTCCATGTCTGTTCCAAGGTCGGTGGGCGTTGATGGTCTCACATGCCGTCACGGACGTCATGAAACACCGAATCTGAGGAACTGTGCCTCAACTTTGGACCCACTGCTGAACTGACAGAGTGCACAGTTTCACAAGAAAACACTCACATGTATTCTAACTGTAAAACCGTTGAATCCTGTAGCCAACTTGCAACTGAACTGTGCTTTACGACTGCTAAATCGTATTGCTTGTGCTTTCTGGAGAAGCTGAGCCAGAGTTCAATTGCATCAACCTACTTACTACATCGACCCTTCATCGTGTCCCGCCTTCCACATCTCAGTAATGAAACAATCAGTTATATCTATATAGCGGAGCTAGCTGCAGAAGAGGACATGCATCTATTTCTAGAACATTCTAAGAACAGTGTTTGAAGCAAAGCGTTCCTCATTTCTTCATCCTCTTCCACTTCTTTGTTCGAGCGAGCTCATCGTGTAGTAGGGTTTGATATCTAATAAGAACATGATCAGCGCCGACGAGCGAAAAGTAGCGCTGAGAAAACCAAGAGCCAAGCCGACGAGGCGCACGACACAGAGTTGTTGCAGAAACAAACGGAGTGGTTTGGTGGAAGCAGTTTCTTGGTTTACTTGTGGCATCCATGACGCGACCATGTCATAGGATGTACTTCAATAGTCTGAAGCTTCGGCAGCTCAGCTGAGCATGGGTGAAACCGCCGGAACACTCCGTGAAGCGCCAAGTGGCACCTGGCGACAATAGACTGCGACATCACAAGAAGTCGGAAGAGCGATTTTTCGGAAACAATCTACTCAATCCCTAGGGCTCCAAGTACCTTCTGAGAAGGTGGGACTGGGGTGGGTGCCAGGAGGATCCAAACACCTTCTAAGGAGGTACTTGGAGCCACATCCACCTGCTTTCTCTTCGGTGGATTCAGTGAGAGGGAGCAAGGAGAGTGTTGAAAAACGAGGACGCATAGTGGCAAATGATGCAACCCCCCAATAAGAGATCCACTGAAGCTGGGTCACTTCATGTAGACTGTTGATGAAACACCCCCCCAACAGGGACTGTAACACTTCTCCCTGGCAGGGGCTTCATTGTTGATTAACAATCTACATATATATATAATATATATATACAATAAGAACTATATATTGGGTCTATCCAAATGCCTGTAACAGTGGATGTGGTTAGTAAAGGCCTTGTCCAAAAATAGTGATGTTCTTGTTTACTGACTGTTACAGGTAATAGGACAGACCCAAACTATATACTTGGTGCAAGGTTCAAAAAGAGGTCTTGCTGTCTTGCCGCTCCCTTCTGGCTATGTTTTGATACACTCAAGCTTGGTCATTTGATTCTCACTGGTAGTATTCTTAAATTAAAAGTGTATACGGATGTATACGGTATACAACCCAATCATCCTAAGATTCCGTCATTCCTGGTCTCAATGCTATTGGACAATGACCAGCAAGGGTCCAAATGTGTCTTTCATGATCTGATGTTTCCTCAAAAGTACAGTTTATAGGACGTTAAAACTTAATATAAATATATTTTTATATACATCTAATTAGTTGCTTAAGTCCAAAATACACAGGAACATCTAAGCTGCTGGGCCTCAGCACAACCTCATCCGACGGTCCGTCTTCCTTTCGTCCCAGCCTTAGCTGAACCTCGAGACCAGGTGAGGTTCCAACACGAAGCGAGTGAGGACAAGGAGAGCCTCCACCAACATATGGTGGGAGTGGATATTCAAAGGCTTGACAATGTTGATCTATAGAATGAGAGTACTGATGCATACTGATTCCAGGGGGTACCACAAGGGAATAGAGCACACTGATGCATACTCTGTCGTGAAATATTTCAGCGTTTTCAGTGGACATGCCATCATTGCAACACTCAGTCATTGACTGGACGACTTGCAAACTTCTGAGGTGAAACACACTCGGCAAAAACCTTTGGACTCACACGACTTCCTTATTGTGTCCGCCCCAACAAATGGATTGGATTCAGCCTTGCATGCGGGCATCTACTTTTGAGGGCGGTCTCGATCTCGTCACGTCTTGCCGTGGGTTTTCAGCGGTCTTTTCGGATCCATCGCGGTGTTTAAACGGTCCGTCGGACGGGACAGCAAACAAATTCTCCCATTGAGGAAATTCTGAAGGGAATCCTGTGGGTGTATGATAAAATTCCAAAAACAGGACACCAGTTCGACCGGACCCTGTGGTTGGAGTGAGTCAATCTCCCAGATTCACGAGAAAACATCCTCCTCTTAACCAGTCTGGTGCAGGACTCCAACACCAGCGCATCATCTGGGTCTCCCCGGCTGCTGGATCGCATCCTGGTGGATCAGATCGTCACGTTCAGATCAGTCGGATCGGTGGAACTGTCGACTGGCACTGTCAGAAACGAGTGTGCAGAAATGACGGAACTAGCGGCAGAAATGGCATATGTATAATACATATTTGGTGGATGTGTCTTGCCAAGGCATCACGGTGTCACGCAATGGCCCACGAACGATGTCTTAAAGTGGAAGAAGTCAAAAAACATCTGCGATGGAGGGCGTGAACTGGCCGGAACCTTGGGAGGAACATACGCAAGTTTTCGCGGCGAACCTTTCGCGCTGGCGGATCGTTGAAACCTCACTTGCAGAAGAAGCTAGCTATTGGATCTTCCCGCCAAAAAGGTCTTAACAATGAGGACTTCAACATAAAAGTCTTTGAAATAGAAAGAACTAAGGATCAAAAGGTAAACAAGGTGCAAAGAAAAAGCTCTCTAAAAGGGGGGGACACATCCGTTGAGGACCCCGGGCCCCCCGACATCCCCCGACATCAAGTGTAGGCGGTTGAAATGCACCGATTTGAGCTGGCTAAACCTACCACCTGGTTGAACATCCTCGGTATAGCTATTAAATCTAAATCCCTACTACCAGCACCACCAAAAAGGATGGTATATCGACCGCCCTGAAGATGTATTTTCCATCCAATAACCACCCGACCTGGGTGGTGCTGATAAAGAATTCTTGTTGGAGTTGACCATGCCCAAGTCTCCAGATTTCTTTCCAGGTACCATGGGTTGCCACTGCGTGTCCGAATTCAACAGAATTCAATCAACGCCTTGCCCACAATGCAGGATCAATGAGTAAGTTCAAAATACAGTGCCAACTCCATGCAACTCCCACATCAAAGAAGCTGAACCGATCCTCCACACCAATCGGCCATCGGCCCCTTCTGGCCTTGCCAGTCAGCAGGTCGGCTGAGATAATGCCGAGCGCTGCGAACCTGGGTACAAGTGATCCCAGAAACATGAAATGGGTATGAACAACTTGAGATTCTGACGAGCACATGGCAATATATTACAATAAATACATATTGCTCTGTATAACAAACCTTCTTTGTGACAGCAAATCTGATCTTCTCCAAACGAGAAACGAGAACGTGGGCAATGGAAAGGACCTCTAGGTGGCTTTGAGGAAGACTTGAGGGTTTTGGATTGCCCAGTATTTCCGGATTTAGTCGCAGTCATGACTGGTAATTACCTGAACCTGGACCTGTGTCACACAGTCATGTAGGGACCCGGGACCATTGCAGGCTTCCTGCAGCTTCAATGGACTCCCACCGTCTGTATCCTGATTCACTGCAATGAGAGAATCACAAAATCTCTGACGACTGACAGCTTGAACGAAACAGTACAGTATTGGAAGGTCACTACAGTGTGTCTGGTCCAAAAAGACAACAACTGCCACCAAGAAGGACCCCAAAGTCACCAAGAAGGACACAGACATGCCACTTTTGGATCAACGATGGAGGCTGCTTCGGTGTGTCCCACTGAGGCAGTCAAGGCATTCCCCCAACTCCCCAACTGAGGCAGCTGCATGGCAAAGCGGCCGTTGTTCAGCTCCTGCCGCGGACGTGCGGATTCAGAGCTTCTCCACGGTCCGGCCAGGTGGATCTATATCTCCAAAGGAAGAAGATAGGCCTAAGACGGCAAACTTCCAACAAGCCCAACAAAGAGCATTCCGTCTTGACCCATGACATGACTTTTCACAGTCAGAGACCCTAACATACCCTGCCCCCGAAAACACTACGGTGCACTCTGTCCAAACGCCCGGTGCCTTCCGAACCCTTCTTGCGCGCCACCCGGGTGGCGCGCACAAAACCGAGCGCGCCTTGTTGCGGAACTCCTCGTTGTACTGGCCAAGGCCTCGGAGCATCGAAGGACAAGACGTCGAGACGGGCGCAGAAGCGCCCGGCTTCTCGTGACATACGCCCGGTGCTTCCGTTCGGGGTGACCAATGGAGAACCCTACACTACCACTTGTAGGACTCCATTGGACACCCAAGCCACGAAGCGCCAGGTATGTACAAGCCACGAAGAATCGATAGGCCGTGAGCTTCACGGTGTCCTGAAATTGAAGTGGGGACTCTGGTTGGTCTCATTTGGTTCCGCATCGACCTATAACATCCCAAAACTTATGAGAGCCAACCTCTTGCCGGGAACGGGGGGGGTGCATTCCGCAGCTTCTAAGAGAACATTCTTATGATGTCTTATGTATTGGGTGGCTGAGTGGCTGCAAAGGTCTAAAACAAACGAACGAACGAAGGAATGAAAAGAAGCGTTAGCAGTTCCACAAACAGCCAGCCAGCCAGGCAAACAAACAAGCAAGGAACTCCCAAATGAATGAAAAAGAGGATCGGATCCTCTAAATTGGAGGACCCACGAACGCTCCCACTCTCTACCCACTTGCTCCCTCAGCCCAGCAGCCCAAAGGATCGCCGAAGTCACCCGCCTCCTTGTTCGGGTCCTGACCGGTCGGCGACCCGGTCCGACCGGGACGGTCACCTCCTCGTTAGAAGATGTTAGAAGTAGACACCACGGTCCGTACGGAGGGTCCTGGTATGGAGCGTTTGCTTGGACATGATGTTATCAATGTTACGAAGTTGATTGGAACCAGAGGAAAATGACACGAAAGGACTTGGACACATGGGGAACTCTGAGGATGGAACCTCAGGTTGGACAAACTCTTGCCGCCTGACCTGGAATATGACGATGAAAGTCCGATGTAGAATGTAGATCTGGCGACTCGAGAGAAGAGCCGTCTTCTTGACAGGGCCAACTCTCTACATCGTATTTGAAGTCATATCCATGGACCCATAGACGATCATGAATCCCTAGTGAAATGGCAGAAAAAAACAACTAAATTCCATACATGGCATCACCTAAACGACCCAGAGCCATGGACAGCAAGACCGATTTTTGTGCCGTGTCTAACCGAAAAAAACACCGACACCGACTCGGACTCGACACGTCCGTCCGAGCGCTCCTGAGTCCACACGGCCAGCTCCATGGCACCCGAGAGCAAAAGGAGCGCCTCGCCCGGCGCAGGAGCCACTTCGGCCGAGAGCGGCACCCCTCCGTGTGTTTGGGGAGGGTCGGGGGCGGTTCAAGCTTGTCAGCCAGGTGAAAAAATGTATTGTCAGGACCAACTGGACGAACTGGACACCACGTTGTTTTAAACGTTTTCGCCCGCTTCCGCTGGTTTCCGCAGGTCCCCGACCGCAAAACCGTAGGTTCCAGGCCTCAGGTGAAGTGGAGGACATGTATTCAGGGCCGAGCCTGGATGGTTCTACAGGTCGTATATCATCGTGTCTGGGTGTCCAATGGAGGTCCAGTCTAGCAGTGTAAGGTAGTCTGTTGGACACCCAGCCAGGATGAGCATGATGAGCCAGGACGGTATCATCTAATATCATCTATACCTTATTCAGCTGTAAGGCTTTAAGGGGTCTATCAATCTCGACCCAAGCCTATCGTGGCATGTCCATATCTCCAGTGAATGATGATGCCTTAAGGCCTTTCCCCAAATAACCATTATTGCATGTGATTGCCTTTTACTGGCTGGGATACAATCTATCATCAATCACCATCAATCACCCAAATGGAAGGGCCTTGAATTCAAATTTTGCTCACACGAAGACTCTTGTCGGAGTCACTGGTGGCTCCGTTTTCTTCAAAACGCCTCCTACTCTCGGTCATGAAAAGGTCTTGATCGAGTTCACCCCCAAGCACCACTTTGGCTGAAATATTGAAATCATGTCCACAACTCACCAAAAGTGCACAGAGAAACGAAAACCCCCCAAAAGCTTCACCCCATTCGCCTCAAGGCAGAGAACTCAACGCGTGCAACGCCACTCGCAAGTCTTCCTCTCGACCCAATCGGAGCCAAAGCTCGGGGTGGTCACCGCACCAATGCCTGCGGGGACCTGACGGGGATGCGACTACGTGGCAAGTCCGGTGAGTCCCATCTCGGACCGACACGGGTCGTTTTCTCGAAGCGAGAAACGATCTGGCGTCGGGTTGGTGTTGTTCTTTGAAGGTGACACACAAGCAGGAAGAGATGAGGGGAGCCCATCACTAGTAGGTTGGAAGCCATCGCTATAAAATTACGGGGAGGCCATTGCTATTTAGGTTGGAGGCCAAGCGCTCGTTGATTACTTTTAACATCTTTTAACATTCTATTCTGACCCATTACCTCTCCAACTGGGCCCTCCAGGCAGATTCGAATCCGGGGAACTTCACGTAGTGCTGCACCACCTCACATCGTGCACCGGCGCACATGGACGCGGACCGCCTCTCACCGAGCCGCGCGGTCCAGTCCGTCCACCGGGTGGCCCGGACCGCTCCGAGCGCCGCCATCATGGCCACGCGCCCATGTTTGATCTCCGCCGCCTCGTGTGGAGACCACGTGTCGAGACAACGACCGAGTTTCTGGCGGGACGAGTCGAGCCACCGGTGTCCCGACCGGAGAGAACGGTGTCGAAAGAAGCGACCGGTGTGACCTGCTTGTGTCTTTCTCCACAACCACTTTGATTTTTCTGTGGAGGAGGGCTGGCCCAATACCTTGTCTTGTTCTTTGTGCCACGGCACAGAAGGGTGGTTCAAAGCAAGATTGGGGCCAAATCCACACTGAAAACACATCAATTCTTTGTGTGTGCGGCTGCACGTCTTTCACACATACAGAAACCCAAGACCTCGAGGTGGCCACCTCATCCAGCCTCTCATTCTCACCTCCATTCCAACCGCCACTCACCGTGCCCAGAAGCTCGGAGGTTCTGGAAGTTCTCCTTGTCACCCACCTTGGAGAAGCCTCCGCGAATCTTCTCCGAGAAAGGTCGAGTTTCGAAGTTGCAGGCATGAAAAACACACCAAATCAAGACTCTACCAGCTGCTTCCAAGGGGTTACCAATGGAGAACCCTGCACTGTTTATAGGTCACCATTGGACACCCATTGGAAGCGCTAGGTAGACCCATCATTCCCAGAATCAGGGGCTGTTATCATTCATGAGGCCTTTGATGACGATGCCGCTATGCCGAGGTAAAACCCAAGGGCCACTCGATTGACTGCGAGCCATTGGCCACAGTTACGCGCCATTGGTAAACGGTGTGGCTGTGACGTTAATTCATGCTGTAGCAAAGCAAGAGGAAGCTCGCATTGATGCTCGCATTTGGAAATCCTTTTGATAGCCGATAGCACTTTTAAATGACATCACATACATTATGTGGCTCCCATTACCAGCACTCATTACAAGGACCACCGGCGCCTCAGGCCATCTTCATTGGGATCAAAGGTTCTCAGCCCTCTCACCCTTCGTAGTCTTTCGGTGACCAACAGCGCCTCCAACCTGCTCAACCTGCTAGCGATGGTACTTCGTTGCCGACCATCTTCCTACTGGGCCCTGTTTGGGTCCGGTCTGCCCCTGTCTGCCGGATCCGCGTTCTGCTTCGTTCCGAAGCGGGCCCCACCTGCCGGATCGAAGAAGCCCAGGGGCCTGGGCTCCGAACGGAAATGCCCACTGGCCCCCCCAGCTGCGCCCATCCACCAGGGGGCGGGAATGATTCCGCCCTTCATGGCGACGGAAAAAGCTTCGCCCTTCTGGAGAACAAAACAAATGGATGCAGAAGAACCGATGAGTCTGCTCAAAGAAACTGGAAGGCATGGCTCAAGGTCCTTCTCAAGGTCCTTCTCTATGCATGTATTTCCCATGTTGTCTGTCCATAGCAGGGATGTCAGGATATGCACCAAACAACATTTTGACCTTGCAACAACATGGCTCGACACTTTTTGTGCAGGAGCATGGCAAGAAACTACCCGGCTTTGAATCAAAACTAAATTGGTATCTGTTCAAAGACACGTGGTAGAAGGACAATGTGCTGTAGGTATCTAAGCTTGATTATCACCATTGTTTCGTTTCGTAACTGAAAAGACGTAGTCATTGTGCCATTCAGAATCAACAATGCTAGATGTGCTGAAACCTTATGTATATAATAATTCATCTATATACTGAACGTGTGTTCCATACCCTTTTTGCTTGCGATCACTGGTGGTCCCAACTTCGGAAACCCAGTCATCCACCGCTCGGTGATAGATCCACATGATCCCTGAGCTCGGTTGAGGATCCAACCTGTGTCCCCACTGGTCGCTGATGGATCTCACTCCAAGCCGCGTCCGGTCCGGTCAGCAGATGATGTCTCGAACAAATAATTCGAACAAATGCTGTCCAAGTGACCTCATGTTCCAGGAAGTCACTCCCCCCAAAAAGCTCTTCTTCAAGAGGTGTTGCAGCTTCACCAGCTTTCCAAGGTGGTCACGAGAGCCACCCTCCCCACACACAGGACCTCTGTGGGACACAAATCTTGAGTGGTCACGACCTCTGAAGATAACCAGGTGGTCAGAGATAAAATCCCTCAAAATAACAAAGTATGAGAACATCTTTTCTGTTTCATGATGTTTCATGGCTTCAGAATCAAGGTTCATGCTTGGTTCATGCTTGAGTTTCCGTTTAAATCTGAAAAAACGTCTGGTGATGTCTTCCCCTCAACGTTTCACGCCGAAACCTTGGCGTGAACGCTCAGGGCTCCCAGGCTCCATGGCGCCCACCTGGCGAGCGTTGGTTTCAAGCACCCAATAATTGTATAAGTGGATTCACCAGATCTTGTGTTGTGGGGGGGGGTGGCAATTAAAAAAATTGAATATGGTTCCTGGCTACTAGTAGTGTGTGTCCTAGATTGTTTGTGAATTTTGATATTTTGTCAAGTGGGACACGGATTCCAAACCACAACTCAGATGATCATGGAGAACAATTCGGAAGCAAAGACATCTATACACTCTAATAGAATGGAACAAAGGCACAAAAACTACAACAATGGGAGTTCCCTTTTCCGAACGTAGGGTTTGGCTTTTCGACTTTGAACCTACGGAACCAGTCGCTGGGTCCCCAACTCTTTGGGTTCCAGAAGCTTGAATGAGACGACCAAGCTGGGGAGGCTGAAAGCGGCATGCTCCTGGTTGCGCCGTCCCGTCGCCCGGTGGGAGCGACACGCGCCGGGCACCGGAGGGACTTTCACCCCAAGAGGTCTTGAAAAGATGGGTCTTTCGTATGAACCACCGAACTGGCGGATTGTGCCATCTCCTCTTGTCCCCACCGGATCATAAGAGTGTTCACATGCACAATTGTCCTCGAACGCCGTGGTCTTCACCATTCTCGAAAAAAGCTTCAACTGACTTCGGATACATCGCTGGAGGTAACCCTTCTGGAGTACTTTGGGAGCTCCAAACGCTTCCACTTCGAGACAGGATGTTTTGACCATTCCTTCGGCGGCTGCATCGCATCGAGTTGCGTTTCTTCCGTGTCCGGCGCCTGCTTCGCCGGGTCGAACGGGGGCGGCGTTGGAGCCTCCTAGCGCGGTGAAGGCGCGGTACCACGGACAGCGATCCAAGCGATGAGTGGAGATCTATAGCTCTTCCCTATGTTGAAACCTCTTGGTCTTCATTTTAGAACCAGAACAACGTGAAAAGGGCATAAAAGAGCCATGTCTTGCAAGAAGGAGGATATTGCTTTAAAGTCTGTACATGTATGGGGTGACTGCGCATAAAGAATAATAAAGAATAAAGCTATAGTATCATTTGATATTATCACATCTAACAATCCGTCTCGCAGGATCAAAGGACACCTTCTACTCCGCGAGAGAATCTGGCAGTGGTGGGGCTGAGACCCCAGGCAGGAGACCATCTCTGATGATTATGATTCTCTATCCAACAAACATAAAGTAGAAACTGGCCACATGGAAAGTGACTGTTCACAAATCAACACACTGTCTTTTCACTTCCAACATGTGTGTTTGATGCTGTTCATCTGCTATATCTGAATCGGATGATCCTCATGATCCTCACTACTGAAACCTGCATGCTTCGACTCCACACCTGGGTTTCGGAGCAAAAACAATGGCCACCGGTGGTTGGTCGTTCGTCCGGCCAGCGATCTGTGCACCAAGCATTCGGAATGTGGATCCAAAGCGGGTCTCCTCCCCCGCTCGTAAAGGCGAGGCGGTATAGAGGGACTCAGTGCGAGAGAAGCAGCTCCTAGGGTTCCTCTCTCAGTTCGGAAGACACATGTGAAGCTGATTCTTCATCAAAAGTCCACCACTTGTTGGATTCAATCGGCCCTTCCAGAGGAAAGACTGGGTCAAAGAAACACGGACTTCCAGTGAAGTGCCAGGATCCGGGTGGCCTTCTGAAAGGGTTACCACAGCGACCAACGGTGCATAACGGTAAACGACGCACCACTGCGACCTAACTACTCTCAGCAGATCGATATGTTCAGCAGCCCTCAACGGGATGGTCGGTGAGTCCTACTATATACTGTAATATCAGCAAAACATGGTTTTGAGATCTTGGGTCACCCGGAACATGCATCGAAACAGCAAAACATCGCGAAGAATCAAACAGTGTGCTTTCACCAACCATTGAAAGGGCCTTGATCAACACCTGAACATCACTCCCACACTTGCAAGAAACTTCGCTCCTTACATAAGTTTCCTTAGTAGTCGTGCCGGCTACTTCAAAAATCATCCACTGGTCAACGGAAAATTCTTGACCACCGTTGCAATTGGTCCCTCGCTCATGAGTCATGGGAGTCATGACTGAATACGAGCCAGGTGCTTCTTGATCCGCATCTCACCAACGACCGCATCCACACACCGACGACAGAAAACACGAATCTCACCACCTCACCATCCGCGAAGACTGTGGTCGCTCTTCGTCGTCTTCCTTCAGTCAAACCGGTGTTTCCCAAAGAGCCAGTTCAGCGCGCCCAAGCCAAGGGGCCCAATCGCCCCAGGCGGAGCCGGTGAGGCCGTCTTGGAAGAACATGCCAATGATCGCCTCAGATGTTCAACCTCTTCAAAAATCCTGCTGATGCCGCCTTTTCTTGGAACACTTCCTGCAACAGTAGCAGCGGAAGTGTTAAACATGATGGACAAACGTAGCACAATTGACACAGTGATCCAACTGGCAAATGCTTGCGAATGGAGAAATCTTTCGCACAGGATCTATGTGTCAGGATCTACGTCATTCTATTTCTGGGCAAATGCCGCTGGTGATCCACATGTTTATTTCTATACAAGGAGAACACTGATGTACATATGCTTCCACTCCCGACAAGCCCTGTGACTGTGCAAACCATCCTGCTCTGCTTTCAATTGTGTATTCCATGTCTGGGTGGAAGTAAGTTGAGGACCCAAAATAATTGTTGAATCATATTGGTTGGGATGATTATCAGGACTTCCACAAGCAGTTGAAGGACATTGGATAGCAACCAAGTGACCATCATTGCAAGCCTGCCATTGGCCAACTCCGCTGCGAGCTTGCTCTTGCGGGTCTCAGGGTCCTC